GGTGTTATATTATTCTTTGTCATGGAAATTATACATTTCCATTTTATTTTTAAAACAGTGAACTAATAATGATTCTTAAAGTAACTCTATGGAAAATTTCTGATAAAAGTCAATTTAACCCCTGTTTTATTCAGTGGCTGAAATTCCATTACTAGTTCAGAGTTTCTGAACAGGTAAACAAAACAAACTGAGCTTGCCTTTTTTTTTTTTTTTTTTCTTTTTTAAAGAGAGGAAATCTAAAGTGTGAAAAGAAAAATTGGTATCATTTAGAACTAAGACCCTGATTCAGCAAAAATCAGCCTGACTTGTGCACTGGGCAAGGCCGCTGAAGTCCTGAACAATTGTTTTTCGTAGCTACTCATGGCATGGAAGACAGATGGTTGTTTTACTAAATGAAGTCCAGCTATCTTAAATATGCTTAAAATAAAATGCTTATTTAGAGTACTTCATATACTTTATAGCATTAAATAATGGTTCAATATTAATAAGGGATTGTTATATGGATTGACAGTTGTCTATACCTATATTGTATGTGGTGTATCTGTCAATTGCAGTTATTAATGAATTAAAACCTTGTTAAATTTCATGCACTTTTGAAAAAGAAAATGATCAGAAGGATGACAATTTCCCAAAAAAAAAAGTGTAGCTACAAAATGAAAATGTGAAAATAAGAGAAAATTTAGTATATTCTTTAACTATATTAAGGATAATTCACTGTCATAAGTAAAAGACAAGTCTGTATACAATTCAGAAGAAAGCAACCACCCCTTTTAGAGCTCAACAGTACAGAAGAAAAATAGGGAAGTAGAGAGAACAACATTTATTGGAACAAATACAATAAGAAGGAGATACTTTTACAGTTAATAGATACATTGCAGAGAAAAAAAAAAAGACCGCTTTTTATTTTATTTTTATTTATTTATTTTTTAATTAAGATAAAGGAAGAGAAACTAATAAACTCAGTTATTGCTAATAGTTGGTGTAACAGTACAATCTGATAAAATGCAGATTACAGATATAGATTTTGTTGTTGCTTTGTAGTGGATTTGCTACTGTTATGGACAAAGTGTTTAGGGTGAAATGTCTTTTTAAGAGAACAGAGTGTTAGTATGCACACAACACTATTGATATTTTCATGTCTTTGTACATGTGTCTTGAATGACTGGATGGTAGGAAAGAGCTAAAACAGGGAAACATGATTTTTGGCCTGTTGCACAGCACTGACCCTTGGAAATGAGGTACTTACATGCCATCTATATTGGCAGCTGTCTAGAGTGGTTGTGACTAAAAATTTTACCTTGTTACTATGGTACTGGAGAAATAAGCTAATGACTTAGCAGGCTAAACAAGTAAATCAGGCTAAGCAAATGTGTTTTGAAGTCAGTTATCCAAAAAACCAAGGTCAAGCTCATGCTTGAAAATGGCTGTTGCAAAATAAAGCAAAAGAGAACTTTATATATATACACTTTTCTTCCTAAACTTTTTGACTGAATTTTGTGGGAAGATACAGTTAAAAACAGAAAAAGATCTAGTGCTAATTATGCTTCCTACTGCCTTACCTGACAATAGGTTCTCAAATACCTGTTATTGCCAGACTGAAGCAGTCAATATTCAGTTCTTTCCAAAATCATGAGCTTGTCTAATCTCATGACTTTTGTAATGATCATTTTCTGGTAGTCTGTTTTTTTTTTTTTTAATTGCCAAGCCCATATTACCTGGTCTTTTTCCTTTTCCCTTTTTTTCCTAAGTAAAAATGGAGTTGTTCAATTTAGAAACAGGACTTTCATTAAAAGCAGTCTATTGCAAAAGCTTAATGCTTAGGAGCACGGGACATGGCAATGCTGAAAGTCCTCGCCTCTTGATGTGGCACATACTGCAACTCATCACAAGGAAGTAAGAGTGAGTAAAGCTTCTTAAGTCTGGGCTGTGCTTTTCTAAAGAGCATTGCCTACTAACATCCCAGGGAGGTGGAATCAGCTGTCAGGCTGTCTCAGAGCCTTATGGCCCTACCAGAAAAATGGATTTGTGTGGCATTAAGTTGTTCTTGGCCCCATTAGGTTGCATCACTGCTACAGCCAAAACCTGCTTTTAAACTTCTCGTGTGTTTGATCCCCTGACTTACGTCCTCTCACTGTTGTAAATTGCTTCTTTGGGGAAAGGAGAGGGGCTGCCCATGTCTGTATTGTAGACCTTAGTAACAGGGATGTTCCACTTCCTACAGTGAAGGGGAAAAAAAATGAGGAAAAAAATTCTCTTTTGTTACAGAGAAAAAGCAAATTAGTAGGTTTAGAAATGGATGATCTCTTAAATTATAACAAATGGGTGAGCTTCTGTTTTTATCTTGCAAAAATGTAATCCAACATTGTCAGCAGATAGATGTGTCAGGAATTAGTTCACCTGACTACTTTTGCTATGACCTGAGGTCAGTTTCTCCTCCCCATCACACCAGAATGGGTCTGGTGTGACTCTTCAGACACCCATCCTCCCTGGAGTTTAAGGGGATGCCAAGGAATAATTGAGAAGGAATAATTACCCCATACCTTGAGACAGCCTGTGAGTGGTGCAGGTACACAGCTGCCAAACTGAATTTCGGAAATGCAGGGTGGCCAATCAAACTAGAATAGAATAATTCAGTTGGAAGAGACCTTCAAAGATGACCAATTTAGGAGGAAGTTCTCCACTCAGAGGGTGGTGAGGCCCTGGAACAGGTTGCCCAAAGAATCTGTGGATGCTCCATCCCTGGAGATGCTCAAGGCCAGGTTGGATGATGCCCTGGGCAACCTGATCTAGTGGGTGGCATCCCTGCCCATTGCAGGGGGTTGGAACTGAGTGTTCTCCAAGGGCCCTTCCAACCTGAGCTGTTCTGGGAAGCCCAACTGCCTGACCACTTCAGAGCTAAAAGTTAAAGCATGTTTTTGGGGACATTATCCAAATGCCTCTCGAACACTGACAGGAATGGGGCATCAACCACCTCTCCAGGAAGCCTGTTTCAGTGTTTCACCACCCTCACAGTGAAGAAATTTTTGCTCACATCCGTTCTGACCCTCCACTGGTGCAGCTCTGTACTGTCCACACACGTCCTGCCATCAGTGACCAGGGAGCAGAGACCAGCTTACCTCCTCAGGGAGCTGCAGAGCAGCGAGGCCACCTCTTAACCTCCTCTCCTCCCCAATGAAAGACCCAAGTGTCCTCATCCTCTCCTCACAGGATGTGCCCTCCAGCGTATTTACCAGCTTTGTTGCCCTCTTCTGGATGTTTTCAGATACCTTAACAACCCAGTATTTCCAGAGAAGTGGTGAAATAGTAAACTGGAGAAAGTGCTTTTATTTTCTACTGGGCCCATAGCCCCACTGAAAGTACTGTACATTTCGGGAAATGTGATTTTAATTACTCTCCTGTTGCTTGCTGAAGTCTGATGGGCATAAGTAGGAAATGGCAGCTTCTGGTTCCTCAATTTCCTTCTCTTCCTTCTTTTTTTCTCCTTCCTCCCTCCCTCCAAAAAAAATCCAGGCGATCTTCTGTAGTGATTTTCAATCATAGTACAATCATAGCTTGATCTTCACTTCTGATCATCAAATATTACGTTCCCTGTATGTATCAAAAGATCTTGTTTTGCCATGAAAGGTTTGTGAAGAAATGAGGAAGTGGAGAGTTAAAAAAAAAAAAAAAAAACAAACACACAAAAAAAACAAACAAACAAAAAACCAAAACTTATTGGATTGCAAAATGAAGGATCTGTTAAGTTCCCACAAACAGAAATATGTTTGTTGAATATTTCTTCCTCCTAGAGATGAAATAGCTGTAGTACCCTCAGCCTGTCACTGGAACCTGCCTTTTGTGCTCGAGGCATGAGTGCTACAGCACCCCGAGCCTGAGGCACAGTCCCTCTGTGTCTAAGTGTGGTACAAGCAGACCCTTCAGTTTTTCTAGATTCTTGCTTAGTCATGAAAGGTAATTTAACTCTGACTTTAGTACTATCCACAGGGTTTTGGCAGTCATCTATTGATTTTTTTTGTGTGTGTTTTATTTTTTATTTACCTCTCTGAATTCCATGTGGCTTTCGATTTAGTTCTACTGGAAAAGGACAAAGAAAAATCCCACTCTGGTATGTCAAAAACTACACTTTGACTCAATAGGGAATGACAAGGGGTGAAAGACATTTTCTGCGGGCTTACAGAACGCTGTTGTTGTTTCAATAATTCACAAAACCACTGGTGTTCAGAAACCATTGTCTTGTGCCAGGACGTGCATTGTGCACAGCTATGAGGAAAGGACAGATTCTGATCTGTGAACCCACTGTCTAGCCATTTACCTCCTGCAACCAGTGAGTTCCTTAACTTTTATTTATTGATCGATTCATTCTTTCTAGCGTATATTAATGTTAACACTGAAAAAGATGATTTTCCTCCCGAGCAGGTTCATTTTCTTTCAGTCCTTGTTGTCCTTCCTGTGTTACAGAGACAGCTTTTGGTTTCCAGGCTAGCTAGCTGAAAGACTGTTTGTGGCTATAAAAGAGCCAAACCGGGGCTCAGTACATGGATCTGAGGAGGATTACTAAGGATTCTAGGGCATTTTGCTTCTGTCCAAAATTACTTTAAGGCATAGGTGTCAGATAGCTTGGCTGTGTCTGATGGATCAAGGGGACGGAGTGAGAGTGAGAAAGAGAGGTGAAAGGGATAAGGAACGGATTGAGGACAAAAGGAAGATCAGAAAGCAGTCTGGGTAGTGAAGGGAAAGACAGGAACAATATCTTACTTGTGAACTTCTATTTCTAACTCTTTGAATACCAAAGGCAATTGAGAGCATTTCTTCAGACATATTGACACAAACTGGAGACAGGTGGCTGGCTTTAAAATTTGTCACTGATTGCAAATAACATCATACTAAAATTACTGTATTTGACAGATTTTAGAAGAAGGAAATACATTCTTATTTTGAATCAGAAATAAATGAATCAAGTGTTTTACACTACATATCTATTTTCTTCCAAATTCATTCAGTTTGAGAATTCTGGAACCATTCAAACCCGCAATAAGGAAGGCCATTGGGTGCCTGGCATGGCTGCAAGCTGCTACTGGGGTATCTGCACTGCAACACTGACATTCCTGGAGTTTGCCTACCAGCTTTGATCACCAATACCTAGTACTGTGACCTTCATGGCACGCAGAACTGTTCTCTGGGTTTTCTGCAGAGTAGTTTTGCAAAAGGACGGTCAGGGCTGTGAAGTCTCCCTCAGCCCCTCCTTCTCTGAATAAAAATAAGGCTTCATTGTTTTAGTGTAAGTGCACATGCATTGGTTTATAGTCAAATAACCAAATGTGCCAGGTCTGACTGATTTCACCATCTGCCCATCTTTGAATGTATATGTCTATGAATCTTACTGAACCTCTGGTTTACCCAGGGCAGAGTATGACCATTGCCATGAGGTTGGCAATAAAAGAGCCCTAGTTATTTAACATATATAACTGTTTTCAGAACTGAAATGTTAAGGTGACTTAAAAATAGCTAAGAGGTAGATACAGCAAGCAAATACAGACCATTCTTCTGTATTTTTGTTATTATTCTAGAGCGTTTGGAACACACTGGGGAGAGGAATGCAAATTTTGATAAAGAGGGTCAAATTTTGTCTTTGTGTCTTTTGGATTTTGATTCTGTATTTCCTGTTCTCTGTGTACTTTACTAATTGAACTCACACATGTATGCTTTTTTCCCCCTTCTATCAGCATATAATCATATCCCTCTTATAAACTTCTGAACAACAAACATGGTAAAGGAATTTGTGTGGTAGTTTTATTACATCCTGCAACTTTCAAAGTTTTGTCTAAAATGTATGAAGTGACCATGCGACCCAGATTTTCTGTTTGTAGAAGAGTACCAAAATTTATCAGAAGCTTTGATGAACAGCTTCAAATTTATCAGGTAAAATGAAACTGGAGGAACCAGTGACCCATACAAAATGGAATACTGGAATAATGTTATCTGCATTTATAAGAAAGTATGGATTAAAGTAATAAAGGAGTCATGGTGGAAAAATAATGAAGATGCCAGTAAACCATACTTTCAGAAATAAATGGCCTTTTGCAGTGACGACCAGTATGATTCAAATTTAGTCACATTTGGCTTGTAGCTATAGAAAACACATGACTATTTATATCAAAAATAGGTGTTGCTGGGGGGAGGGTCCGGGGGGGAACAACAGTAAAATAAGAGCATCAGTCTCTGAAAGCTGGTAAAACTCTCTACTTACTGAGATAGAGATATGTATATATATAATTACGTATGCATATATAATTACATTCTATTGTGTTTCATTGATTTACTTTGATCCCAATTCTTTGCTAGTGATATAATGAAGAAAGCTAGGCATACTCTTTAAATTTTTTGCTATTGTTGTTCAATCCCTTATATTTGGTCAAACTGCAGTTTCATTGCTGGATAATATGGTAAAAAGATTCATTGTAAGGGTTACTTAACAACATTGGTGGTGTTGATGAATAGTTGCAATTAATACATTCCCTTAATTAGTCTGATACCCAGAAGATGCACCTGGCAGGTCATTTTAATACTACAATTGATTTATTGCTGCTAGAAATGATTTTACCAGCTATCTTCAGAGAGCACAATTAGAGAGGATTTCATTTTTTTATGCATTTTCACTGAGGAATAAACATAAAAGGTCTATGTAATTCAGAACAAAGCAGCTATAATGTACTAATGGTTTATGGATTTTATTAATATTCAGCTAACATTAGAGGCAATTTTAGAGAATAACAACCTATTTTCTATATGAAGTATTCCATTTTTAGTATCTGAGTGCTTTATTTAAAAAACAAAATCAAAGCATGATATTTTAAATGAGTTGCTATTATCAGGTATGGGAAATCTAAATGGTGTAAGATTATGGATAGATAGATATGTGTTTGTCTATGCTCTGTGCTATGTGGTATGTGTGTCACATGCATTGAGATTTGGCAAAAATATAAATTATGTACTATTTTTGAATCACGATGAAGTCCCTCTAAACAAAGAGATGTTTTTCTGGGGTTACTATACAGTGTTAGTAAGTCAATGTCAGCTTTGCCCTTCGCAAAAGTATCAAATCTTATTTTCAAATTTTTTTTTTTTTTTTGGTTGAAAATGATCTTGGAATTAGCTTCTTCTCTTTTTTTCCTTCAGCTTACTGTATTTTGTTCCATTTCCAGTGCTGCAGCAGACAGCATGGCTGCCTTTTCTTAGCTTCTCTGTGCACTAATATCACCAACACTATTGTGGACACCTCCGGCAGGCTCTCTTTCTACATCTTAGAACAAAAGGTTGTCTCTTGAATAGCAATTCTTAATTCATAGGTACTTATAAACAACTTTTTTTTTTTTAATCTGTTTTCCAAGTAACAAAATGTTTTTACCTTGATAAGAGGAAAACCTTTTAAAGGATGTGGGCAAAAAATGTATATTGCTTGCATGCTCCAAGTTATAAATCATCGGGAATTTGTTCACCCAGCAAATGCAAGATTGTTTTAGGATAATCTGGGTTCATCTAAGCTTTGTCTGTCCTCAGAAGGCCTTTAGAATTCCCTGACAATCGAACAGACAAACCTGATTTGCAGAGTGCATCTCTGTGATCCTCAGTGCAGGGGCACAATGTGTGGACACAAGCTGTTCCCTCAGCTTTGGCTTCTGGAATTTAGGGATCTGGATTAGGAAGCCAAGTCTTGCTTTTCAAATTAGTGCACTAATAGAATAACTTTTGACCTTTCAATAAATGCATGAGAAAGTAATTATAGTTCAGTATTTATGAGCAGTATTTAGCCTCATGTTATACTACTCCAGAGTATATAAAAGGCACCAAATAGAACAAATAAAGAAAATGTTGACTCTCCAGATCTATTTGCAGCATGAGCCAAAAAATGGTGTCAAGCTCTAAAAATAAAGTAGGAAATTGCTGTTGAACAAGGACATGATTTATAGCATATTTAAGACCTGGTTTAAGTCTCCCTGAAGTCAAGGTCCAAGTCTGGGATCTCTGCTCAGAAAAGATCTATCTCTGCATGCTGAATTTTCTCTATTATTATTACTAAAATGTTCTGGTTGTGTACATGAATTGTTTTTCATGTGAATTACTAGTGAAGAGCACTTGGGTGACAATCTGCTAGAAACTTTTCAACCTGAGGGGTGAGCAAATAACACTGTGTGGAACGGGTACTAGCGGCAGCCTTGTTGGTAGTAATGTGGGCTTCATCAGGTCGTGGGTAAAGTAGGTAGGCACTTTGGGGATGACAACAAATATGTTGTAGCAAGAGAGCATCTACAGTGCATGACGTAGGTAATATCAATACTTTCGGGCACTGTATCTTGGGGTGTGGAGCCTGATGGAAACATTCAAAGTTGTACTTGTGTCACCAGGCAGCAGAATCACCTGGACAATTGTCTGGTCTTTTCATGAGACTCCGAAAGAGGGGAAAAGTGGTCAGCGGGGAGCCAAGAGGAGATGAAGATGCAGTGATCAGTGATTATGAATGACTTCAAGGAGTTTCTGCTAAACAGGAATCATTTTCTTTCTGTTTAGATGTCAAGGAAGCTGATGGATATTAGAAATGTTGTGGAATAATAAGAGGCTGGATATGGATCTTGCAGGTTGGAGACATAGGTTAAAGTTGAAATAGATATTACAAATTAGTTATGTTTATAAGCTAAAGTAGAAGGGAAATAATACCTCTGGATGATTTCTTCTGGAAAAAAAAAATTAGATTGGAGTCCTTGCTTTTATTTTCTTTTTATTCTTTTTCCTGCTCATATTGTCATTAGATTTGATACCTTAGGTGTAACACGAAGCCCTTGGATACCATGTAGTCTGGAGGCTGTTGAAAACTGTCTTAACAAATATTCCTGTTGTTAAAATACTCTCCTATCTTTTAACCTTTGTGGAGGACCCAGGGGTTTTTCTATAATTAAGACTTAAACCAATTGATTAGAAATACTGTATAACAAAGTGTAAATATAATTTAGCTTCATTTTTTTAAGGTTCAAGATTCCTTAATTAAAGAATACAATGAGTGTAAAGGAATATAAACTGATAAGAACTGATTCAAAACAAAATAATTCCAAACATTTCATTTCTGAAAAAAAAAGATAATCATTTTCAGCGCAAAGTTAATGTCAACACTTTTTTTTCCTCTTAAGGATTTTAGTGAAGATTTACGATTATCATAGGACTTGGTGCAGTTTGTTTGCTCCCCACAAAAGCAGAGATGATTTTTATTGACCAATCTTTGATCCAAGAGATTAAAGAAAGTACTGCAAGAGCAGTGAAAAGGATAACACCATGGGGGTCAATAGGCTTACTGCTACTTGGAAATGAAAGTGAAGCATTCCATTGGGAGAGGGGGGGGTAGTTTAGCATTCTTACTAGGAACTTGTTTTCCCTTTATTTATTTTTTTATTTTTCTGGAAAAAAAAAATCATTTTGCTTACAGGTTTCTCCATGACTTAATACCATGGCCATAATATGAGGTCATTTTGAGGGCGCTAGATTCGCCAACATAATTCTGCACAATGCTTTTTAGCCCAAATGGCCTGGCTGTCACATACTCGCACTCTTGATTGAAATGTTTCTGGTAGACTTTTGGAATGCAGTCTGAGGGCTTAGTGACTCAATATTTTCAACATGAATACATTTCCTATCTCATAGAAAGTTTCTATGAACTACTGCAGAGTTAATGCGTCTTCCTGTTGTTTCTTGAAGCACTGTAGGCTTTACACAAACCTGGTAGAACTGTATGAATCAAAAGGAAATGAAGTCCTAGCTTGATACAGTTTTATTTTTTTATGGCATCGTCATGACGGTACTTTATGAGGGTATCAAAATGTCTGCTGAATGGCAAATTTTTCTTTCTCAAAATAACCATTAATATCCCCTTTCCCTGGTGTGTGTGTGTTGTTCACCCCCTCCCCCCTTTTTTCCACCCTTTGTCCAGGTGGTATGATTTTTGTCTTCCCTTTCACTGCAGAGAATAAGTGCAGTGAGAACAACAGCTGGTATGACTTTGACTGGGGATGTGCCGAAGTGCTTTTGTTTACAGAATATTCACAGAGATGCACGAGGCCTGGCAGAGGGCTCATGTCACGCTTCTTCCTCTCTTGAAAAATCGCCAGATAAATCTGATTGAAATTGGCCAGTTGTACTTTTGCTGCTTACCAGAGACAGGTTTGGAGGTTTAGCACATTTTCACGTTTTATTGAGTTTCCTGCAGGTAAATAGTAAATGATTATTCAATATTTTTTTTTGGGGGGGAGGAGTAGGAGGACCCTCAAAAACTTCTCAGAAAGGTTCTTGTGTCGTGTAAATGCATGATAATGCTTGAAGAGCACCACAAGCATTTCATCCGGGATAACTGGTTTTATCACAAACAATAATCATGCTCAATTCACTTGGTGATAGCTTGTGAAACTTGGCTTTTCTGCTGGCACAAAACAAGGTTAAGATTCCTTTAGTGAAAAGCAGAAAAACCCTGTCTATCTGTTTCCAAGGTTGTTTCAAAAATGTAATTGAAAGGTAATTCTATTAAGAACAATGGCAGAATGCCCATGGACTTGACAGGAATTATTATGTTTTTTACTTTGTTTATTTTTCCTCCTTAATTTCCTGAAGACTAGTGACTTTGAGTACTTTGTTTGTCATATGAAAATTAAAGACTTAAGCTGATTATTAAAATTCATGAAGCAGCTATATAAAATTACTATTCTGTTTACAATCAAGTCATGTGGCTTTTTTACAGCTCATTTACTATTTGCAACTGGTTGTTGGCAACATTATCTAGGTTCTTGAAACTGTCTGCTCTGTTTTTATGTACCTGGATCGTGTTAGGTTTTCTAGAAAATTGTCATCACCCCTGTTGTTATGCACTTCTTGGTCATTGCTGGGTGTGGGTGGTTTGCATTTTTTTTTCTTTGTTTCCCTGGTCTTGACTATTCTGGAAATTGTAGTTCTCAGTTTTGTTAATAAGCTTTAATGTAGCCAAGAGCCATTCTCAGTTAGACCATGGTGAGAAAATCAAAGCTTTCTGAAAGTTTACAAGACATGTTTACTCCTTTTTCCTATACTCCTTTTCAGATTCAGTGCTCTAAATTTACACCTTTCTCCTGATTCTTTTCCCTTAGGGTAACTTACAGGCTTTCATCTCTTAGCTGTGGAAACATGCTGCTTTACTTTTGTTCACAGAAGATGTTGCTGGCTTCCATTCTTTCTTCTGATCATCTGTTTCACAGATCTCACACAATATTTGTTTAATTATTATTTTTTTTTTTTGGGGGGGGGGTGGGGTGGGGTGGGATTTTTGATCTTTCTAAAAGCCTCAACTGGTAGAGGAATCTGATTATATGTGAACCATCAGCTTTCTATTTTTTGTAATGGTAGGAAAGTGAAACTTAAAAATGACTAAACTCTAAAGCTTCAGAAACCGGAAGACAAATACAATGAATCCCATATGTGCTATGGAAAAAACTAAAACAAAGCCCTTTTGATATGGAAGGGCCTACCTTTTTAATGCTGCTCTCTTGGGGTGATATTGAGTGAATCTAGCACCATTGCATGGTTGTATGCTCAGGAGCAGGATATAAGAAAAAGCCCCTAGTGTAGCAACAAAGATTAAGGGTTTTACTGGTAATGACTTAAAAATGAAACAGTGTCTGTACTCAATGCTGCTTTTGGGTATAGTGGACAAGAAGTGGTATTAACTTTTATATGCCCTGAAATCACAATATTTTCTCTAAAAGTTAAGATTGTATTTAAGTAG